GGCAGCGTTCGGTAGAAATACACTTCGTCGTCGTCCTCCCCTAAATGCAGTCTATCTTTAACAACTGTAGGCTGCCAGTGGTCTCACGGTTACGTGTCTCCGTGCATTTGTATTCTACCAGTTATCTGGTCAATCGAATGTATCGTCCTAACTGTCACTCCCACAGACCCATTTCAAAGCAGGAAGTTGTTTCATAGTGCTTTCGGCGGCAAATCGAATGTGTTACTGTGTCTTGCATCAGCCGCCCCTTGTTTAACAATTATTTGCATGCTACGAGGCCACCGCATGCTCTGCCATGAAGTCACATGTTTCTCTTTTCTCTTTCCCTCACTTGGCGCGTGTGTGGGGGGAGGGGTTCGGTGGATGGGTGCGTGTGTGTGTTTGTCAGATGGACATTGTAACCATTGTTTTCTTCTCCTCAAGTGCCTTGCGTTGCATAAATGCTTGTTTCTCAAAGCTAATACGTACAACATGGACACACTTTTCATTGTGTTGTAACAAAAAAGGAAAATACAAATTCAACGCAATCTACACATTCTGACTGAACTCTGTTATGAATGGTAGTCCACCGCTACATCGCCAGAGGTGTATATACTGTAAGAGCTGCATCATACAGTTACACATCTACGGAGCAGAAACCTGAAGGCTCACAAAGAGGCTTCAATTTAAATTTAGGAGGACGCAACAAACAGTGGAAAAAAGAATGATGTGTGTAACCTTCAGAGAGATTATTTATTGCGTGGTAAGCAAAAACTAATCCCCGGCCCGCACCATAAACATAGAGCAGGTAATGCCAATAAGAAAAGAAAAATGAACAGGGTAAAGCCAAGGGACGTTTTGAGCGGAAGGATGGGCAGGGGAAAAGAGCTCCTGCCCCAGTCGAACCGAACGAAAAAAAAAAAAGCTCTTAGTTTGGTGTACAATGTTGATCTTGCTGCAGACATGTTTGACAGAGTTGATCTTCAGTGACGAATCTTACGATGCGCAGCTTAATGGCGCTGTCTTGGAGATCTTGCTTTCCTGTCGGTTGAAAGAGTAGGAGTTTTCTGTTGATTTACACTTTTTCCTAAATGATTGCTCTGTGAAACTGAAAGACTTGATTACTGTTCCTCCTCCCTCCACCCTGTTAGTGTCAAGTTAGTTTGCATATTCGTTTCATTGTTTTTTTTTCTAGTAGCAGATGGGCAGTAGGTACGTGAAGTTAAAATTATTTTTGAACTTTTGCTTCACTTTTGATATATAATGATATTTAGCGCATTTAAAATGCGACAGAATGTCAAGTTGCTTGCAATATTAGTCGTTATTAAACTTTTTCTTAAACTTCAGAGCTATATTTGCATGATTCTAATGGTCAGGAAGAAAATTTTGAATTGTGAAAGACGGTCTTCAATACATGTTAGAATTTTACTATTCGTGAATGCAATGTATATAGTTTTCACAATTTTTGCTTCAACTTTGTTTTTTTTTTCTTTTTTTTTTGAAGTTTCTTTTTTTACCTGTCTCAAGTTTTTTTAATTTTTTATCTCTTTTCTTTTCTCGGTCTGTTGTCTTTTTTTCTTTCATAGAGCGAAATTATGAGGTTCTTTCTGTCTTTTGCAATCTTTTCTTTTTCAATTTTTTGTCCTTTTGCTCTTTCTTTTTCCTTCTCCCCTTCTCTTCCTACTTCTTTCCCCTACATTTTTATTTTTCTTATTCTCTTCTCTTTCCTTTCAAGCGTTTTTTACATATTTTATTTCTTGCATATTCATTGACCAGTACAACTTTGAACGTACTTAGCATAGACAACTGGTTTATGATTTTAATAATAATAATTTATTTTTCCTTGTAGAATGTGTTAGGAACCTTCATAGAAAGGAAGAGAGCAGAATGGGTCAGGGAACCAGCGAGCAGGTCACTGCTCATTATTCGGTAGCTATACAATGAAATAACAGAAATCAATGTTATGTAATGATGGAAGGGGAAAAGGCAATGTAGATACGATTCTGCACTCGGCGCCGTGGGCTGCTTATAGCAGCCAAGCGCAGGTCAAGAAAACATGTTGGAGCGCACTGTTTTACCAAGTCCTCTCCAACTGCAAGTACATCGTCGAAAGTCTGTACCAAGGAGGTTATATTAAAACTTCTGGAGTGGCGGAGAGGCTCCGCAGCTGAAGCCGACACCGCCATATTGATCAGGGCAGAAAACGGATGGGCGCATTTTAGCGTGCGTGGCTTTCGTGTTGATTTAGTGCTAGTAACGTTGCGTATCATGCCTCTAATTGAACAAGACGCTTCTGAACACGTCTGTGATCACATTTTGAGACAACGATGTTGGGCTCTTGGGTAGTATTTGGCTGCACGAATCGTGTGAGGTGGACACTGGGCTCAGCTTTCGATGTTTAAGTAGGCATGCTTCGCTCATTCGCTTATTCTCCCATATTTTAGCGACTATGCGACTGCATTCATAAATTTTCTTTTGGCGTCCGGGGGCACAATGACACTAAGAATAATTTTTTGCAGGCTCTGTTTTTGTAGTAATGTTTGTAGGCTATATATATATATATATATATATATATATATATATATATATATATATATATAGTGTGAGTAATAACTCAATGGGCCAGTTAGTCTTCGTGAAGGTATGGGATATGGCACAACGGCAGCGTTGTCAACAAAGATAAATATATTTATTTCCCAACAGTTTCAGGAGGGGTCCTCCCTTCATCAGGGGATGAGTTTTATATATATATATATATATATATATATATATATATATATATATATATATGTATGTATATATATATATATATATATATATATATATATGTATGTATATATATATATATATATATATATGTGTGTGTGTGTGTGTGTGTGTGTGTGTGTGTGTGTGTGTGTGTGTGTGTGTGTGTGTGTGTGTGTGTGTGTGTGTGTGTGTGTGTGTGTGTGTGTGTGATATCCCTGAGTACGCTTTTATTTCTTTTTATAGTGAAAGGTGTTACGAGATCAGAACACGGGTCATGCGTAGAGCCATGTCCGCCGCCACTCGTAATTAGTATCGAACAAAAAAAATTCGTTAAGTTAAGAATATCAATGACACAATGAGAGTCCAATCCGGGTCCACTGCGTGCCAACCCAGCATTCTACCACTGAGCCGCGCCAGCGCTGGAAATTGTTTCTAAACTGGTTTTAGGCAGGCTTGATGTCTGGAAACGAGTCGCATTAATATGAGTAATAAAGCGTTTTAGACCATCAAGGAACAGCGAGGCGTCACACAATGCGAATTTCTTGACGACTTGGTCGTCCAACGCTTCCATCCATTAAAAAACTTATTCTTGATCACCTATTAACTGTGGTGCATAACCACTTCATGCATATTTCTTCATCGTCATCAGCCACTGCATAAAAAGATGCACTAAACTTCAAACAAGTGTGTAGCGAATACCGCGTACGATTCTCCAATGAATGACGAAGGATAGCATAGTGAATGCTGGCCTACTACAGAAAATTTATAATTATTTATGGCACTGTGGGTACCCAGCAGTGCTCTTGTAGCATCCCAAAGAGTTTTTAGAGAAGGCTTTGAAAGACCACTCTCCCAGCTTTCGCTGTGACTGTTCTGCGCGTTTCTTGCAGGTCTGGCGTGTTCTTTTTTTTTTACACGCTTGAAACGCCAAATGTCCAAGAAAAATTAAAGCAGATGTGCATTAAAGTCCTTTCCACATTCGTTCGCCTACTAAAAATAATAAACAGGTGCTTTAGTAGCAATAACGAAACGCACGGCAAGCATCACGGCGCTTCAAAACAGGCGTCGCCTCCTTCTGCCCTGAGCAATATGGCCGCCGCGGCTTCACTGCGAGACATGGGCGGGTATGCGGGACCGCCACTCCAGAAGATTTAGTATAACCTCCTTGGTCTGTACTTGCAACAGCTAGCATGGCATCTGACTTATCAGCTTGTCCTTGTTGCTGTAGGTGTTGTATGCCCTAATATAAATGGTATGCGGGCATATGTATTGGCATACTTCAATGACTCATTTCTTCTTTAGACAGTTGCATTGTTTTGGTGAGCATGCTTCAACTTGCTCGTTCTATTGCGTCTAATAGATATAACGCCAAAAAGTCAAAACATTGCAAGAAGCAGCAAACAACAAAGAGAAGAAATTGACGGAAGACGTACTATTCTGTTTTTTTTTTCTGTCTCGTGCTGTCTAGCGCAGTTTGAATTTCAGTCATGTGCCTGAACCAAGCAGTCCAAATGCTTGCTCTCCTTATAATGGTGAAAATGCGTCTTTGCTCAAGACTAAATTTGCAGAAACGTGAAAGATATGTTTGACACCATCGGGTGTATGTATTCCCAATGATATCAAATCTATCCCTTTCAGCACGCATTCATTGATCACACCAGCGGACATAGTGCTCGTAGCTCTGAAGGAACACTGGATATTGTAACGACACAAAAAGTGAAGGTCTTCATTAACACAATGACAATCCTTCGGTTTTCAGGGTAACAAAACAAGGTTTTAGGGCTGCCAAAAGAGTTTGTACCGGAACACCTAGGGAACTGTGCCCACCACCTGCGCTGAAGAGGTGGCAATGTGCGAATGGTCGCCCCAGCACCGTTTAGGACCCGCAAAACGCATTCTGTGCAGATAAGGTTTGCCCTAACCAGGTGCTCCTCGCATTCCGTGTAGGTACGCTTTGCTCGAATCAGGTGCTCCTCGCAATTTACCACGAAAGCTTCTGCAGTGTAGACAATTTTCCACATTACTTATCAGCGGCGCCACCTTAATTGGGCTGTTTAAGAAATTTTTTCCTTTTTTCTATCTCCGGTCGTGAATGCATCAGGCTAGGAAACCCCGAATGCACCAACCCAACGATTTTTATGTACATGCATCCACCTTACCACTGTTCACTTCTTTGGAGATTTGAAACGGCAAGGTTGACAACCCAGTATGGCAGCGCTAAAACCTATCCGTAAAACAGTCTGAGAAACCGCCGTCATTGTGTACACACGCAGGCTGTCGTCCGTGCTGTTCGACAAGGTGATGATGATCGTGGGTGACCCGTCGGACATGCGCCAGTTCATCAGTCGCCAAGAAGACGTGGCCTTCAGTGACCTGGTCTGGGTGGCCGTGCTGCATGCCTTTCCGCAGGCGGTGCTGCAACTGTACCTGCTGCTTTTCCCCGGCGGTGCGGACCTGCTGCGAGGTGACTGGCCCGACTACACCGGTGAGCACGCGGCACCACATGCCGTCGGTAACAGTTGTGCGCATACACTCATTGCAATAGGTTTGCCATTCATGATCAATATTTTTAATACATCACATGATTCTCTGTGCATTTGCGTAGAACAACCCGAAGGCAAAAGCCATCATCAAAGTCGATACACTGATCCTCTACCACCCTCGCCCTCCAATAGCTGTTAGCACCTAATGTGACTTTTCACTGCCTCAAGGGTTGGTGGCAACGCAATAATTTTGCACCTGCGCATGATTTTGCACTGCCTCCATGATCGGCTAACTTTTTACCAAGCAACGATGTAACGCGATTTCTTAATCATGAAGTCACAATTTCTAGCCAACTATGACGTCGTGATGACGTAATATGGTGACGTCATCACGCGATAATTCTTTTTCATCACTCGTACTGATGCCAACGCCGCCGTCGGTGAAGTCTTCGAGTTAAGTGAGGCATCTAAGTTATGTTGCCAAGGGGTATTGCGGAGAGCCATCTCGTTAGGTGATATCGAGATACGGAAGTGATAAATCTTGACCCAAAAAGTGGCAAAATTTATTTTTCCGTGTCCGTGATGCAAGTTTGCGCAGAGAGTGCCAAAGCAAAAAGGCCGTCGCTGATAACATGCATGCTCTTGAGTATGCGTTGGAGGGACCTCTCGTAGTCCGGGTGGATATTGTCATCCTTTCTGTTCCTATATCGTCCTGAGTAGAATAAATAATGAGTGCTTCAAGTCGAAGATTCACTCGTTACCACACCTCACGGGTGTAATTGCGCACAATTTAGGGGCTTAACGTCAAGCTTATTAACGTATTGCTTATTTAGTATTGCGTTTCCAGTCTGCAAGGTGCTATGGTATTCGTCATCAGTTAAAAAAATTCGTTGAATGCAAAAACGTGTCATATTACGTGGGTGTGGTTTAAAACCAATTCAGTTCTCCGACAATTTTTAGAAAGTAATTAAGTCGTACCTTCAGACACAAAGGTATAAAAATGTTGCATTCACTTGCCTGATGCATACGAATTAACTTCCTGTACTACGTGGCACATTATTATTCCCTCGCGAACACTACCAAGAATTGTTTGTAGTCTATCCATGCTTACTCTCATGTAATAGAAAGGTACACCACTACTTAGAAAATGGGCGCTTTCCTAGGATATAGTCGTTGCATAAGCTCAGTATAGGCACCGTGCAGTCGAGTTTTCCAGTGCGACTGCAGCGCCAGAACGCAATGATTAGAGGAGAAAAAAATTTGGCCCCGTATCTGCATGAAATCTGCAAATGTCGTCGAAAGACGATAGTCTTGCGTGTGGAGAGAGTGAACAAGACATCTATTTGATGTTCTTCGCAAGATAATAGTGAATGGTATTCTGGAGGCGCTGCGTTAGAGTGCCTCGAGCGTGCAGCGGAGGCGAACGAGTGCATCAAGTCACGTCACACGTGAGACATAAGCGCCATCTGGCAGTTGTCTTAGAAAACAAAACGCGTGACTCTGAGACGAGTGTGCGCGCCCATCTCAGAGGTAATAAGGTGTGGAACGCAAGGCAACGGGTGGGTGCCACCACAATTTCGTTTTAGCAAAGCGTTGATTGATGATTGATATGTGGGGTTTAACGTCCCAAAACCACTATAAGATTATGAGAGACGCCGTAGTGGAGGGCTCCGGAAATTTAGACCACCTGGGGTTCTTTAACGTGAACCCAAATCTGAGCACACGGGCCTACAACATTTCCGCCTCCATCGGAAATGCAGCCGCCGCAGCCGGGATCCGAACCCGCGCCCTGCGGGTCAGCAGCCGAGTACCTTAGCCACTAGACCACCGCGGCGGGGTTTAGCAAAGCGTTGGAAACACTTGCCTTTCCGTGCAAGCGTTGCATGGTCAGCGCAGCGTGATAAGCGCCACGGTCCTTAAAATTACTTATGTACGCCTTTTCTAGTAAAAGACGCACATGCAGAATATATGCGTGTTCTTATGGTGCCCCAGACATGCGCAATAATTGCTTTTTAATTGACAATTGCACAAGCATGAACGCTCAACCTTGAGCAACATAGGTGGGCACTGCGGATGGGGTCGGCCGTTTCAAGTACCCGATGCCGTTAAAAGTAGACGAAAATTTTTGCATCGAAGGTCCCCAAGAAAGACTATCGTCTTTAAAACGCAACAATATGTAGCGCTCAGTTAAAATGAAACGCGATGCCCACGTCTCCCTGCCCCGCATGAGTGGGCGTATTGCAGCAGGGATACACGGGGACGCGTGCGTTCGTTTGTTTTCTGCGTGCCCCCATTGGCCAACGTCAGTGGACAGTGCCTATAAAAGGTTGAAGGCTTCTGAAAGCTTCTTCGTGCGCGGCCCTTGATTCCCCAGTGCGTACACAGCTGGCCCTGACAGGGCCGAACCAGAGACAACCGGTTTCTGGGCCGTGGTGCAGATACGATTATCTCATCTCTGCAGGCGGGTCACATGAAGTGCTTTCCTTGTACTACGCTGTCAATGACCGTGGTCGTCACACGTTCGTAAAGACTGTCTTCCGCATTGTTCAACAAGTTCCGTCGTGAAAGCACAGATGAATTGCTCGAAATGGGCTACTTGTGAACGCGTTTCCTTACTCTACTACCTAACTTTTTTTCCTGTTTTGAATCAAGATTTGCAAGTGTCACCACTTGCCACATTTGCTGTCATGCTCGAAAACCGAGGACCTTAATAAAAAAGCAGTTAGGATAATTTATGAAGTTGAAGGTGTCAGTCACATACGACGGGCCAAGAACACATTACTGGGGGTCTGCAGATTAACTAAAACTACTTGAGGATCAGTGGCGTAGCTGACCATGCCCATGCTACACCCCCCCCCCCCCCTCTCTGAAACAACTTTCTGCCCATGTCCCTGAACAGTAGCGTGGCCAGAAATATTGTTCGGGAGCTGTTACACACTGATGCTAAGAAAATAAAGAGAAAGGCTTGCAACGACACAGTATCGCAGTCATTTTTCCGCTTAGAAAAACACCAACTGTTAGATCTTTCGGTTCCCCTATTATGTACATAAATATACGAGTGCAAACAAGGCTTCATAAATTTGAATCTGAAAGTACAACTATTTTCTAAAAAAACGTAAACGCACAAATGTACTCGAAAACTCTTGAGTAATCACTGAGAGACAAAGACATGTGCGATGGTTTAATATTCAACGTGGTACCGTCGGGCATAAAATATAGTGCTATTAAAATCCAAAGCGAAACAACCTTCGCAGTAGATGACAAAAATGAAAGTGAAAAGATGACCTGCTTTTTACGACGGCCTGCCTTTTGTCTCCGGCTTCAGAGGGCTATAAGGGCCAAATAAACAGTTTTTTAATGAACTACTGGAAGCGCTCTGTCACCATTATTGTCAAAATACTGTGTCGGAGTCACCTTTCACATTAAATAAAATACAAATCCCTGATGCGGCGCTGAGACAAGAGCTCTACGTCCTATCGTGGGAGACCTTGACCCGGGTTGCTTAAAACACTGCAGGACACACAACTTAAATGAGTTACAACCAACCAAACAGAAACATGTTTGACTGTAAAAGTATGGGGCATTTTTCACACACCATGGAATAAGGCGGGGCGGAAGGGGGTGGGTGAGCTGCCCTTTTATGCACACTCCTAGGATGGGAACCCGCCACCACGGCATCGCTCATTATCATATCATGAGTTTGGGACGTAAAATCCTAACAATATTTAAAATGCAAACATACCTGCCTGCTCACTACAACTCTATTATCTGCAACATTTCGCCGTGAAGCGACAATTTCTACCTGAATATGTTCAGTTCAACAAGTATACGGGATAATAGATTGCATTTCAATTTAGAAAAACCAACTTCTCTAAACCGCATTTTGAAAATTGCTTCCCGATTTGGTTTTCATGCTTGGTCGGTTTCGCACCCCACAAAATGAAATTCAGCATTGTACTTACTTCAGTATAAGCCCACTTCACAGTCTACGCGCCAGCCTCTCGGACAGTGTCAAACCAGACTGGAATGATCTCATGGGCAGTGTATTTTAGCTCATGGGCTCGGAGTCTCCGCTCTATTTTTTTTCTGGCAGGTGCATAAACGTTTTGCAGAATATGAGATCAGTAGGGGCTATAAGGCAATTTTAAAGCAGGGCGTTTCCGTCATGCCTTTATTATGTAGATGATTAATAACGGGCACATTTCTATAGCTTATGCTTTATTCACGTCATGGTGCACCCTTGTTCTCTCTATCACGTGAGTAACAGTGATGGCACCGCCTTCAATATTAGTACCAGCATGTGTCTTTCGGTGATGTTAAGGTAATCATTACAAAGGCGAAGCCCTTGGATGTCACAGCAAACGCCATAGGTGGCCATCGATGTCAGCAGGAAGAGTGTACGAAGACAATGTGATGATGCACTTTATGACGTTACCACGACGTCACATGTTACCAAAATTCGGGACGTCATCATCAGATCGCCAAACCTGCCATCACATGACATCGTCGCTTAGCAAAAGGTGGGCCGACACTGTAGGCACTACAAAACCAAGTGAGATTCAGAAGGCTTATGGGCGTGGAGGGCAGGAAGGGAATGGGGGGGGGGGGGGGGGCATAAAACATATTTATTTCAGAAACGTAACCAGAGAGTTGCTGCAACCCATTCTTGAGTGGCCATACCCTATTTCGGGACTCCAATGGAGCTGGCCGCCACTTGAGTGCGCCTCACCAAGGAGCGTTGAGCATCCAAGGTGGGGCAGCTGAGCAGGTACTCTTCCTAAACCTCTCTAGTTGGGAGTGGGAAGGGGTATCAGAAAGGAAGTGAGTTGGCGGGGCACGAAGCGACGACGTGGTATGTGTTGACCAGGATCTGACAGGTCGAGAAGGTGCCATTTATTTCCAGCAAAAATGGAATCAATGTCATCGACTGAGAAGAACGTGAATATGGCTTTCATATTCCGGT